CATTTTCATAGCTGTCCACTGTGGTGACCGTCATGCATGAAAGGGTTAATGATTAGTTACGATTAATCGTACTTAAGCATGATTAATCCAGATGAATCAACACCCCGGTTATGTTTTTTAAATGTTATTATGCTTTTTAATAACGAATAATCGTGATTAATCATTAGTCACAATTCATCGTGATTAATCATAATCATTGATCGTCACGATTAATCGTGATTTGCACCGCAATGAGCCTGTGATTGATCTGGTCGACAGCTTTTAATTGGTTGACAGCCCTGGTTCATACACCTATACACACTAAATCACTTCCGAAACGGCGACGCTCCTCGCAGCTCCTGGCGGGGGCTTCATTTCTCAACGACGACTTGCAGCTGAGATAGCCCTCTCCCTTTTTTTTAACGTACTGTCTGTATATAAATCACCGTGTGGAATGCACGGCGACTGTGAAGATAAAGATCCTCCATAAGATTCCCATTCTTTCGATTTCCAGTGTGTGCTTCATCACCATCATCATCATCATCATCATCATCATCATACGTGTGCTCCTGAGGTGCTCATCGTGTTAGGCCAAAAACACAGAGCATTTAAAATACGGCAGCAGCAGCTAGAGGGCAGCAGGAGACCCTTGCGTCCTCCGTGCATCTGACACGACCGCCCTGATAATGAAATTCGATTACAACTTCCTCCCTCACTTATCTCCGGTGCGCAGACGCTCCCTGTTCCCAGTGAGTTGACCTTAAAAGGGTTTCTCCCCTCAGACCACCAGGATTCCACCAGACACCGTTCTAAAACTCTTTAGATTTTTTTTTTTTTAAATTATAGCCATGTGATTTTAAATATGATAAGAACAAAACTGCCACCGCTCCGACTCATACGTCAACCTCGTCGCCATTTATCAAACAACTGAGCTCGGCTCCGTCGGACTTCTTACCCTTTTAATTCTTCAACGCTTTTTTTTTTTTTCCCCCGCAGGTTATGATTGAACGCTCCAACATTCTTCGCCTCTTATTCAGTTTAAAGGAGCGACATATCAGTTTGAGAACATTACGGGATAAATATGCCGGCGAGTGTCGTCAGTTGTAGGCCATTAGGCTCATCACACAGGGACATGATCAAGCAGTGACATGTGAAAAGAGACGCTGCTGATTCATGTTTAAATACAGCGGTGCGTCCAATTAATTCCTGGTGATGGCAGCTTCATTTCAATTTTTTTTTTTTTTTGCAGGAGTTTTTTGAGAATCCGGCCTTCAGACCAGATGGTTTGAAGCTTTACCCGACGCTGGTGATCCGAGGCACGGGGCTGTATGAGCTGTGGAAGACCGGCCGCTACAAGAGCTACACCCCCAGTGCACTCGTGGACCTAGTTGCCCGTATCCTGGCACTGGTACCACCCTGGACGCGTGTCTACAGAGTACAGCGGTAGGTTAATGCTATCGTGCATTTGAAATGAGGCTTAATGGTTAATGAGTTAAATGAGTTAATGAGTTAAAAAAAATTAAATATGTATATATGTGTGCATGTACATGTATATATGTGTATATATATGTATATGTATATATGTGTATATATGTATATACCGTACATGTATATATGTGTGTATATATGTATGTATATATATTTTTCCATCATATATTATTGTAGATAGCAGAACAGTGCTATAATTTGTTATTAAATTAACATCACACAATTATCTACAATTAATGGTAAACAATATTTTCGGCTTGCTTGCTAACAGCAAACAGATGGAATGTCGCGGCCTATCCTAAGCTAAAGTCAAGTGTGCGATTTTAATGGTGGTAATGTGTCATACTAAACACTGGATGCTATTGACTTTCAATTGCTTTTGGTGTTTTGTTTTCCTGCGGTACAACAGAATAAACGAATGAATGAATCGTCAACAGCTTTTTGTACTACTACATAAATCTGTAGTACAGTAGTACCTTAAATGTCATATACTGCTCAACCGCCAGCAATACAAATATGTTATTTAAATTTGGTGATTAAAATGTTTCGCATCATGTTTCCCAGGAGTTTACGAATAATGTCTATTGACTTGGGTCGCGAAGGTTTGGGACTTTTAAAATATGGGTCCCCAGAAAAAAAAAGTTTGGGGAAACTGCCTTAGACCGCATCTGAGCCAGCAGTCGATAACAGCAGGACGGGCAACAGACCCTGCTTTGGTTACAATGGCTCTCAGCAAATCACATGTTCAAGTCACGCTCCATCCTGTTGACGCAGCAGAAATGACTTAATAGTTTTTTGTTTTTTTTCAAAGACTATAATACGTAAGCTTTTTTTTCTGTCAGTTTTTTGTCGAGTTTCTTAAAAAAAAATGACCGTCTATCGAGAAGAATCCATTACATACGTCGTTTGCGTTTCTCTTTTTGTGACCAATCAGGGACATCCCCATGCCACTGGTGAGCTCCGGAGTGGAACATGGCAACCTGAGAGAGCTGGCTCTGGCCAGGATGAAGGACATGGGCACTGAGGTAAGAGTCAAAGGCCTTACAAACTTCTCGAGCCGGGATTAAAAGTGCAAAAAAATGCAGATAATCGGAGTCGATTACGTGCAGTGTTCTGCTGATGCGATGCGATGAGTGGTGTATTCGTTGGGAGTTTTCGGAGCATGGAATTGAAGCACCTCTTTCTCCTAACCTCTACATCTATTGAATATATGTTGAACAATAGAGAGTAGATTTAGTGGTGCTCATTCAGGCTGAAAACAATCAGGACAGGACTCGGCGTCACCAGCGCCGTCTGTTGGTCTGATTTATGTCAGACTCAAATGTTCTTATCGAGCCCTTGATTCATAATGCCAAAAAAATTCTATCTGCCGTACCTGTTGAAGCATGCCAAAATAGTCCAGGACTCCTATCTCTAGAATGAAATACATCTTGAGGAATTCCTTCTAATTCAACTATTTCACCTTTTTTTTTTAACCCAATTGTAATAATTTTACATATTATTGTATTTTTTAAAACTCAATTGTAATAATTTTACATATTATTGTCTGCAGTCCTTCAGACTTTGGTGTTTGATCTAACAACCCTGGTTAGTGGAGGCAGAAATAGAAACAAAGGTGATGATTGAACACTCCGCAGCAGCAAAAGTTTAGGCGGGTGCTTCTTTCTCAGGAAAGAAAAAAAAAAAAAAAAACGAAGAGAAAAAAAAATCTGGAGCTAAACTTTCTTTCAAAGTTTTTACAAGACAGTGAGCATTAATCTGCGAGAGCGTAGCTGGATGTTCACTGCACCTCTCAGTGGCTGATCCTGCTTCTTGGTTGTAGATGAGTTTAAAAAAGGAAAAAAATAAACGTCCAACTTCCCATTTGACAGTTAGCTAGTTTCCCGGGGAACTAAAACTTGCATATTTTTTAAAGTCGATTAAGAAAGAAAAAAATGTAACAGTGGTATCAAAATGTTATTTTGCAGCTTTAAAACTCACTTGTCTGAAACAGGGTAATTCATATAAATCTGTATTTTTTTTATTGAGGAAAATTAAAATATAAGTCAATTTTCCTATTGTTAAAATTTAAATTGTAAATTAAAAAATATTTATATCTATTATATCTATATTTATACAGATATTCATCCATCTTATACATCATCCATTCATCCATCTATTTGTTCATCCATCCATCCAACTATCCATCCATCCGTCCAGCTATCCATCCATTCATCCAATTTATCCATCCATCCATCCATCCATCCATCCTAGCCCTAGTGTCAACACATTTCCTCTGCTCAGATTCCCAGCCTTTTTACCCTCAGATTGTTCTGTAGTCTATATATAATATTGGTGTTTCTCTCTCTTTCCACTATGTTCAGTGTCGAGATGTGAGAACCAGAGAAGTCGGCATTCAAGAAATCCACCATAAGGTCCGACCGTATCAGGTAATGAGAAAGTTTCCAACTCTGACAAGAAAAAAAGTTCCTCTCGACTATTTTTGAGACCAAAACAAGCCAACGTGTTTCACCCTGCCCTGTCATAAGGTGGAGCTAGTGAGGAGGGACTACGTGGCCAACGGCAGCTGGGAGACCTTCCTCTCCTACGAGGACCCGGAGCAGGACATCCTGATCGGACTGCTGCGTCTGCGCCGCTGCTCTCCGCAGTCTTTCCGCCCGGAGCTGAAAGGAGGCGTGTCCATCGTGCGTGAGCTGCACGTGTACGGCAGCGTTGTTCCCGTCAGCGGCCGAGACCCCAGCAAGTTCCAGCATCAGGTGATAATCCCGTCGATAAAAGCGTAACGTTCAAACACTGACATTTTGGTTTCCCACCTGCTGTGAATATGATTGTTTTGGGTTTTTTTTTTTTTGTTCTCACAGAGACGCGACCTGTGTTCCCTCTGTCTTTAACCCTTAGATGAAACACAGAAGGAGGTTAGAGCAGGTCAGAGGTTCAAAGACAGATTGTTTTAAGTCGTTTTTTTTTTTTTTGTCTCCTTCTCCTTCATGCGTAGGGCTTTGGTATGATGCTGATGGAGGAGGCAGAGAGGATCGCCAGAGACGAGCACGGGTCTGGAAAACTAGCTGTTATCTCAGGTAAAAAAAAAAGAAAATAAGAACAGGCGACATTTATTCCTAATAATTGTGTATTGTATATATTTGCATATAGATGTCAGATTATTACAATTGTTCATGCAGTTAATCACGATAAATTAATCAATTAATATTTACTCATTGTACAAATGCAGTTAATCACGATTAAATTAATCAATTAATATTTACTCATTCCTAAATATATTTATTATATACAGTATATATACATACATATGTGTATATACTATATATATGTATATGTATATATTTATACATGTATATATTTACATATACATATACATATATATGTATGTATATATATTTACATATGTATATATGTATTTATATATATAAATGAACCTACATATATACATTTATATACATACACATATATGTGTATAAATGTATGTATATATATTTATATATGTGTATATATTTACATATATGTAGGTATATTTGTGTCCTTGGGTGACAGAAAGGCGCCTATGAAATAAAATGTATTATTATTATTATTATTATTATTATTATATATATTAATATCTATATCTATATACTGTATCTATATATGTATATCTGCTGCGTTGCAGGTGTAGGGACGAGGAACTACTACAGGAAGATGGGCTACGAGCTGCAGGGACCGTACATGGTGAAGGACCTGTTTGCACCTGAAACGGACTGAACGACTGAAGCAGTAATTTTTTAGATTTAATCTGAACGGACTCGTTACGGACGCAACACTGTTCAACATTACGGTTCTCCAAAGAGGTTCGGCCTGGATGGTCCTCGTGAGTAGTTTCTTTGAGTGACCTTTACCTTCCTCATATTTTAAACCAGCCTTGCCTCAACCTGAGGGATTTTTTTTTTTTTGCCCGGAGAATTATGGGATATTTTCTCTTTTTTTTTTTTGACCATTCTCTGTGAAACCACACGAATGGTTGTGAGGAAGAATCCGAGAAGATCAGCAGTTAAATACTCGATACAGGCACAGATGAAGTACTTAATGAAGTGGCCAGTGTTCTCGGAGTGAGTTGTCGATCCAGGATAAAACCCGTGATCAATCACTGTTTGAGTAAAGAGCGTTTCATTTCTGATCCAATCTTAATCCGTCACCAGGCAAGTGTTGTGTCGCCGTTGTCATCGTGTCAGATTCATAAAACAGATTTAATTTAAAATCAATGATTTACCTTAAATGTCAATGGGCTGTTTTTTTTTAAGCAAATAAAAACATATATCGTTCACGATATATTACGAATGAGGCTTTTAATGAAAACCCAAAGACGACATTATATTTGAACATAAAATCCGGAATGACATTTAACGGTACCAGTGTTGGGAGAAAGGTCACATGGTAAGATTGGGTGCCTTACTGTACTTCTGAAGGTTAAAGGTCGCGTGCCCTTGCCGCAGACCCCTGACGATTGCCCTATGAGAGTGCGTTACTGACTCATTTGACGCAGCCTTTCCAATTACCTTTCCATCCATTACCTGTCGCCCGATCACTGACTGAACGCTACGTTGAGCCGCGCTCTTGCCGAAAAGTGTTTGTCACTTGAAAAATAGCCCACAATGGAGCACGTAAAAGCTCACACTGCGACCTGCGTCTCAGAGGTTCCCGCTGCCCGACCGCGGCTGGGGCTGAGCTGCCGCGTGTAATTTCCTGGATGTGTCGTGACTGCACTGTTGCGGTCCTGACGTAGTGAGCACTCACTTTTCAAGTTTATTCGCTCCCGTACTCAGCTGTGAAATCTGAAAAGACTTTCTTCCCGCTCAGACCCGCTGAGCTGATTGCAGCTGTGGAGGAAACAGACCCTGCTCTAATCCCCAGTACCAAATGTGCAGGAGTGTCGCAGGTTGACTTAAACGCTGCCCAGGTGAAGGTTAGAGCGCGCGTCTACGATGATTAGCTGTGTCACTGAACATTTACAGAGGAGCTCTGGATGGCTAGACTTCTACATTTGATCTTTCGGCCAAAACGTATGAATTGCCAAGTTAATTAGTAAAGGTGTTTGTTTTTTCGTATGATGTAATGAAATATCTTTTCATTTCAACTTGGTCTTATTTATTTAAAAAACATTGCTAATATACTCTGGAATTAAA